TTCCACACAGGGGAGTTCGGCTTTGTAGAGTGGGCCAGAAGACAAAAAACAGTACATTAGGAAGAGGCTGAAAATGCTTTCACCTCTTTGCTCGCCGTGCACCCCGTGGTCCAGCTCACCGCACACGCCATGCAGCGTGCGAGCAACTGCTTGTTGTGCAAAGGGTATTCTGCTTTCCCTTCACTTGTCTGCACTTCAGAGAGGGGAATTTAGCATCCGAACTGAGACAAGGCACAGCTTGCACTGTACTGTCAGGGTGTAAAGTTCCCTCACAAGGTTGGATCAAGTAAAAAAGTGTGATAGCAGAATTTAAGAGAAGTACTACCCACCATTACTTTACCCACAATTATGTAAGTGTGGTCGCTAAGGTCTGAGCTCACCGTAATTCAAGCTGAAATGATGTCTACACATCTGGTCTCTTTTTGGGAATCCCTTTTTATCCAGAATTAATTTTATTTCATGCATTTTTTAAATAGAACAACAAACAAACAACATCCCTGTATACAACACGTGTCAGTAAAAAAACAGCTGGCAAATTTCCAACTGTCTGTCTGCAGAATGAAGGGTACAGATGACCCCTCCTCAGGCCTCTGGTGGGGGGCTAGGCAAACGGTTATGGTTGACCCTTAAATGAGATCAAGTAAACAACAATTTCTTGGTTAAATTATGTCACACAACAAAAATGTTTTTTTTCTCACATGACAAATGAATGTATGGTTTGCATACAAAATGTGTTGTAGAGCCCGCGATCACAAAAACAAACGGCCATCTAAATGTCTGACTTGTGCAGATACCAGATCTCTGCCGGGCTGATTTTTAAAGGCCACTGCTTCATTGCTTGATTGAACAAATATAACGTTACTCCTCCCCACCACTGTCTCTTTGGCCGTAGGGGTTCACTGTGTTATCACTAGTGGAACTAGAGGCTGCTGGTGATGACAGTTCAGCTCAGTTCAGAGTCACAGCTCACTCACACACGTGACCAATCCCTTGCATAAATCCTCAATCTTCAGTTTTTCTTTAAGTCTGCTGAGAGTGGTATATTCATTTCTAATATTATACTGGATAGCTGGATGAATAAATAGATCATATTATAATTAGCATAATCGTCAATGCTACAACACCGGGAGCCAATCGGCCTGCTCCAAATGGCCACCATTACTCAGAGAATACTCTCTCTCTCTCTGTAACACCCACAAGCACATGGCTTATCATTATACAGAATGACTTAATCGGTTGGGGTTAGGCCAATGCCGAGTAGACTGAGGCATGCCTTTGTTACGTTAGGAAAAACAATAGGAATTGAAGTGTCATTTTGCATCGTGATTAGCTGACTTCACTTTGTTGTATTTTCCAATCAATAGGCTTTCAGAACATCTGGGGTTGGTTTTTTGGGATGACGGGCTCTCAAATAAATGGATTTTTAGTTCAAAGGGATATTTTCTGGACTATTTGAGGTGGTGGGATAATGAGCCGTTGGCATGGCACCGATTTTTTTCTTTCAATTAACCCTTTCACCTTGTTTTCCATTGTCTCTACTACTCTCCATCAGCTGATTTAATTGATGTTACCATAGCAGCCTCCTTGACATTCGCTGTCAAGGCCCTCCCTATGGGTCTGAATATGAATAATTGTGAATAATAATTGTGACTCATTAAGATTGTGAACCAGTTGTCCTCCACTCACACAATTTGAAACTACAACCGTTTCTGTTTCTGAATGTGGTTTCATGCGCGAAAATGACACAGGAGGACCCTCAACAGGAGGACACTCGGGTGAAGTTTCGAACTAGAAAGGTTTGCCAGTTACGGAATGCATGTGCTGTAGTGCTCGCTTGAGTGTGTGCGTCGCGCTAGCAGGATTAGTTGATGACTTGGTCGAACTTAGGCTCAGAAATCATCCATGTGTAGCATGATAATATCAGAGAGTAGTGTTCACTATAAAAGTGTTTTTGTGTAAAGTGATTTAATTGTTTTCTAATCTATGTGTATGAGGCGGCTTCCTCAACAATAGCTGCAGAGAAAGCAGTCAATCCCAGCTGCTTGTTTTCTCGCTACATACTCTGGGTTATTGCTTGTGCATTCAGAAACTGCTCAGACTTGAACTGGCCTCACTCGTTGACTACAAGTAGGCCGGATACAAGAGTCCACTTGAACCCACTCGACGTTTTGAGTTTGAATGGTGCTGTTTGTTCTGCACAATATGCAGGGGGATATTCAATTTAGCCGCTGCAATTTAACGAGACGTCCTTCATGAAAAAAGATTTATTTCAAATGTGCTGAACTAAAGGCATCTTTTAACAGTCCGATTGAAAATTAGATTCATATCCAAACGATAGCTATACTAGCGATGCTCCTGTCGGCCACAGCAGTACTTTGTGTTTAATGCTAATTTGCAAATGCTAGCATACTACTGCACTAAACTAAGATGGCAAACATTATTTGGGTTAAACATCAGAACGTTAGCAACATAATCTTATCCTAGATCGAATCAAATGCAAAGCATTACAGGAATTGGCTCTACAAAACCAGCTGACTGACATGCGATGCACAGTTGTACTGATACTCAGTTCACATACTGTAGATCATAAATGTGGGCGTTGTATAAAATGTAAAGGCATTTCTTATGCGTAAATGTTGTGCTCCAGGCCTACAAATTCTTTTTGTCATCCAAATTGCTTTGAGGAAGGAGAAGAAACCACAACATTCACGATGTGCCGCTCGCATCCCCAGGCGGCATTCCGCTTTTCATGTGCGCATGAACGTCTTAGATTGGTGGGAAATTCAGACGTGATCCCCTCGAATTGTGCTCTCATCTGATTTGTCAGGTGCAGAAGACCTTCTAGGTTTGTCTCTCCTCTTTCCCATTCCCTAACTGCCAAGTATAGTTTTCCCAAGTATAGTCCCTTCCCCAAGCTCTGTGCCTCTGCTGCGCCACACTCTCATACCTGCCCTACTTTCACACTGCTCACACAATTAGCGAGTTTCACACTCATTCCCTCTCGTTTCTCTGCTCTCCCCCTCTATTTCTCCCTCACTCACGACACACACAGGCCAGGGTAACCATACGTATATAATACATACACACATTGAGTTCATGCACGTGTGCACCTCCAAACTGATACTGTTACTTTAGTTTTACTGTGCATGGATCTTTTTGTGAATTGGACCAGCATCACTACAGCTTGTAGCACGGTGCAGTACTGTATGCTGCTGCACACCAGCACAAGGAGCAATGGAGGAGGAGAATTCGCCACTGACTGAGCCCAGTTTTTTTATAAGCACATTAATAACTTATTTTTCTTATATCCTCTGACAACTTTCTGTGCATAAACCTTTTTATCATATTGATTACTCCTAACATACGAGTTACTAGTTCAAACATGTATATCCGCTTTCCTCAATCGTAAGCGGAACCTGCAGCTCGGCCGCATGTGGTTTCCTGGGATGTCTCACGGTGCGCTTGTGCGTTGTCTTCAGTGTTCTTAAGGGGCTTAAAAATGTCGTGAGGTGCAGGAGCGGCCAGCCCATGCAGCCCTACGGTGCCATTGGATTCTTCATGGTACCCAGAGATGCGTTTTGGTTAATGCTCCTTGGCAAGTTCTGGCATGTCTGCAGGTTCAAGTAGACATCCAAATAGCTAGGTGGTACTTAAGTCCTAAAATAACTCAAAATCAGAGTAACTATAACGGTATGGTTTGTCAGAAGCAACTTACATCAACAGTCATATCTAAAAGCCAAATGCTACTCAAAGCGTTGATTTAGGGTGATTGCTTAGGGTGAACTGATGTACAGTGTGGTTTGCTGTGGTGGTGGTGGTGGAGCGGCTTTTACTGTAAAAGTGAAATAAAATGCGAGTGTCACATTAATTTGTAATGATGGACATCAATGGGGAATGCTCACTGAAGATGCTGGGGCCCGTTAAAGTGACAGGAAGAGACGGAGTAAGAGGAGTGCCAAGAAGAAGAAAGACAAAAAACAGTGAGAAGGGGCAAGAGGAGTGTGTCCGCAAAACAGAGACAAAGCGACAGTGAATGAAAGTGTGTGTGTGTGTAGACAGAGAGACAGAGAGAGAGCCAGGCCTAGTTTTGAGTGCATGATCTAGGCCATTATCTGTGTTAGCACTGGTGGGGCTTCAAGGGGCTCTGTGGATCCTGCATAACAATACATTTTATGAGCTTGTATTTTTCTGTGTACCACTGTAGGCTCAGATACACACACACACACGCACACTGTATGCGATCATGCGAGTTAACGCCATCGTGCCATACATTATGTACGTATGCGCCCCTGTGCCTTTGTTTTCCCGCCACTGGGTTTGGGACTGCTTGTTAGAACCGCTCGTGTTTGTGTGTGCTTGTGTGCGTTTTGTCGATCGTGCCTTCGTATGTGTGTATGTGACTCCTCACGTGCAGCTGTGCGCTCCTGCTGTATCACCCCCGTCGTCAGTCAACCCCCCTCTCCAGCAGCGCCCTGGGGGCCTTCATTATGTAAGAAAGGCATTACTGCAGAACAGAGGCAGGCAGCCCTGATAACTCTGGCAGACCCTGTTCAGTACAACTCGCTTAGGCCTCCACAATACACACACACACACACACACACACACACACACACACACACACACAGACACACACACACACAGTCAAAGGCTGCAGCAGAGGTGTGAGCAGGATAATGGTGAGAGTCAAGGGCCTCTCATGTTTGTGGGAAAGCTTGATAACAAAAATACAAGAAATGTCAATAAATCATGTTCTCCATTACAATAACAATCTTCCTTTTTATTCTGTGTCAACTCTTCTCCTTCACCTGCATCCATATATCCATAAACCCATTCAAACTCCCCTCCGCCGTCTTAATCTCAAATAATACCTCTGATTCTTCATCCATCTTCTTTCCTGCATCATTGATCCCCTTCTGTCTCCATCTATCTCGGTACACCTTTTTCTTCTCACTTCCACCTCCTCCCTTGCCTTTTCATCGCTCCCCAAACTCCCCCTGCAGCGGTCCCCTTCCCCCTGGCCCATCGGCTCACCATGAAGGAGGTGTTTGATGCCGAGGGTCGGCCGCGGGTGGACATGCTCAAAGCCCACCTCACTAAGGAAGGCCGACTGGAGGAGGCGGTGGCCCTGCGCATCATCGATGAGGGCGCCGCCATCCTGCGCCAGGAGCGCACTATGCTGGACATTGAGGCGCCAGTCACGGGTACGTCATGTGTGTGATGAAGAGTTGGGGGGACGCCACGTGGATTAGTCTGTAATTTGGTTGGAGAGCAGTTTCTTAAAATATTTGGAAAGCCAAACCTGATGTTTGACATTTAGCTGAGTTTAGTTTAGCAGAACCACTGAATACAAAGAGGTAATTATTATTTTAGGTGCCATGACTAATTTGTTCAATCTGTAAAAAACAACAACCCAGTCTCAAAGCAAAACGTGTAATAGCTACGTTGTGGACCAACGTGGTATTGTGACGCTTTTTGGGGAGAAAGCGTGAGAATACAACGTTTGATTTGCAACGAGGGCACGTGACTATCAACTTTCCCTCAGCTAAAAAAAAGAAAATGGCAGAATGTCAGTCTATTATCTGTGAAAAACACAATATTTTAAGAAAGCATCAGCATTTGTATGCATTTTGATGGCATTTCTAGCGAGAAGTATGCATTATATTTTCATAGTCTTCTATCAGAGAATGTAGAAGACCTTCCGTTTATGAGTTTCTAGTGACGTAGTTGCAAGGCGATGTAAAGGAATGGGCCAAAATAAAACGTAGTATTGTCACGATTTCAAGGAGAAAGCGTGTTTTTGTGTATGAATTAAACAAACAAGCTAAAGCATGAGCTTTTGTTCCGCTCACTGTTTATGTGCATGACAAGCAGATGGATTAAAAACTTTAACAACTAGGGTATAGATAGCGACAGTCAGACTGAAAGAGAGGGACAGAGACAAAGGAATGCAGATGCGGAGCAAAAGGCTTAAAGATTAGTTCATTAATCTGCCACGTGTATCTGCCAAGCTTTTAATATGAACGGTTGTTCGGTCCCACTTCACTGAGAGAACCAACGGACACTCGAGCACCTCACAGAGGCAGACTGTAGCTTTGGTAATGTCTGCATGGAGGAGAAGGGACAAGTTTCCCAAATGAAGACAGAGAGGACAGACGTGCGGGAAGGCAGACCCAGACACATCTACTTATTGACGCTGCTCGGTCAATATACAGAGATGCTGTACGCGTGCGTGTTTATGCAAATGCAGGAGGCGAGATAACTCGTAGATAACTCGCAGAGAACTCTGCGTAGGACGTAGTGCCCACGCAGAGTAGCAACTTTGCTCCATTTCACAGGTACAGATCCCCGGGGACGAGGACAGAGAGACAGGCAGATGGAGAGAGACTCCATCATAAGCTGCTCAGTACAGAGGTTCCCATAACATATTGATCGGCCTCCAGTTTTCTCCACTCTTTCAGTTTTACATCTGAGTGTATTTTTGTTTGGAGTTGGCTGTGATTTGAAACTACAGGACAAGTAGTGCAGGTTTTTGTGGGGAGTGGCTTTAAGCAACGGTCATGTCGAGTAGATGTATTAGTCATACACTCTCGAGGTGGACTATGACAGCCGGACTAGACCATGGACAGGCAGGGGGGGGCGGCTGACATTTAAGGCCTGGGAGAATACTGAGGCAGGTTTTAGAAGGCAGACGGGCACGACTCAATTTCACTTATGCCATTTTGCATTCCCACCTCAAATTAAGGTGAATTCTAAGAAGGAGACACAAAAAAGACACTTACATGCCAAGCAGATGGAGGGACAGGCAGACGCACCAGCCGGTCGAGATGGCCATCGTAACATCGGCTGCAGAGGGGAACTATGAACTGAGAAGGAAAAGGAAAGGCCAGGCAGATGGCACACGAGGCGGATGGGAAGATGTGTGCTGGCAGATCGCACAGACGCACAGTCCTGAAAGTCTTTCCAAATGCAAAGTGTCCGGCATGTGAAGTCCGATATGAATCGATCCTAGATGTAACTCGGGACAAGTCTGTGGGCAAATCAATAGAAATAAGGTGATTGATATATGAAGTCTATGACGTTCCATCATGGAAACAGTCAAAAGTTATGTTGTGCAGTGAAGGCAGCTGTTATCTTAAAATATACACGGCAAACAGTTTAACATTAGTTAGCAGCATTAGGGCTACAATTAGTAATATCTCATTATCAATTAAAATACCTTGGTGATTGCTTTGACGGAGACAATCAATTCATGTCGACAGACATAAATACAGTGTGTATACATTAAACCTGAGATCACCGGTGTGTTCCTCAACTGGTGGGATTCAAACACAATATTCTTCCAGGAGGATATTTATTCTACTTTTACTTTCATCAGACAGGAGAGTGGAGTTTCTAGATCAGCAGACATAGCAGACATACCTCTACAGATGCAAACAGGCCATATGGAGCTACCCAAGCAGAGATGCTGCCGCGCGCTTTTTACTTAATTACGAAAAGCAGAACATCTGGCGGCTGTAAACCGTCGCCCTTATGACCCCAACCCTGTTGTGTGCGCCCTCAACAGTGTGCGGAGACATCCACGGCCAGTTCTTCGACCTGATGAAGCTGTTTGAAGTGGGGGGCTCTCCTGCCAACACTCGCTACCTCTTCCTAGGGGACTACGTGGACAGGGGCTACTTCAGCATCGAGGTGAGGGTTGACACTGAGGCATACGACTTAACGTCATGCTATTTTACTGGCTGTGTAGCCACACAAAGGTACTGCAAGCTGCCTCTATTGTGTATACAAGCAGCTTACAACTAAATCATTATGTCATAATCAGCGCTGGGGTGTCTAGGCCCTAAAGTCGAGGTTTTTTTCCACTACCGAGGTATACAGTTACCACACTGTGCTGTATTTCATTAATTATAGACCTACAAAAAGGTACTTGATTTAAAAGTCAGCAATCACTAACCAGGGTATATTATGATGTGTCGTGAAACATGTAAAGAAACTGGGTGGGGACGGTTCATTGAGTGCTTTGTCTGGCAGAAACGCTGCACGGATCAGGAGTGTGCCTTGATTCCATAATGTTTCAAGCAATGTCCTCACCCATTCATTTGTATTTTTGTGTAAATTCATCAGCACGCCTTCTTTTGGAGAGAATCTTATCAAAATCCTGTTAATGTCGATCGTTAGACCGGGTGGAGGATCAATTCACACAGGGAGGGAATCCTTGTGACGCCTCCAACCTGATTCCCTGTGTCTCGCTTTGAAATCTCAATTTGAATTTAATGAGGTGAACGGAAAGAGAAATGATTACACATCTTCCTCATACAGTCACTAGCGAGCAATGATGTACTAAGGATATATTTGTTTTTCCTGTAGTGTGCTTTCCTTTTTCAGGAACAATTTTTCATGCTTGGTATAACCCATGCGTTCTTCAAAAAAATGATAGTAAGAAGGTGGAAAGAGCCTGACTCGGACACGAGGACACAATCCGCCGACAGTGCTGCTGTGACTACTTCAGCTCCTAAAATAAGAAACGTACCCTTTGAGCCTATAGATAAAAGAAATTAAACATGTTTACAGACTATAAGTGGAAAGTTGAGATTCACAATTGTAACAATGTTTATGCTTTTATCAAACATTTGATCTATAGTTGGTATATTTACTGTACTTGTGTTTGCTGTTATGAACAACCTTTTTTTTTTAGAGCAAACAGTGGAAGCCGTGTATGACTCAATTGTAACAGCGTGAGCTAAAGTTGTAACGCGGCTAAAAAGGGCATCGAACAAATTGTCTTCATGGCAAAGCAACAATATCTCAGTGAAGCGACAGTTTTTGTTAGCGTTGATTTTGTCACAAGGATGTGATGACATAATGTAGAGAACATGACATGAGTGTGACATTACTGAAACTTACCAAAGTCGGGGCCTTTAATGTTGGCAAATAAATTGATTGCACCTCAGTGGTTATCAAATTTGATTGAAGGCAAAACGTTATGAGCTAAATTTGTTGAGTTTATGTTGCAATTACATACCGTAATGTATTATAAATGTACTTCTGTTTCTGGCATATTTAATGGTGTTGTTGTTTTCTACAGCTGCTCATCTCTGAATATGTTTTATGCTTTTGTCTTCCCCGGTGAACCTTTAGTGCGTGTTATACCTGTGGTCACTGAAAATCCTCTACCCAAAGACGCTCTTTCTTCTACGGGGAAACCATGAATGTAGACATCTGACAGAATATTTTACCTTCAAACAAGAATGTGAGTAACCTGCAGTTCCTCCTAATGCAATACGGTCCTTCTCTCTCTTTCTCTGCCTTTGTGTTTGTACCTCTTTTACCTTGAGTACTTTTGCTTTTCTCGCTCTCTCTCTAACCTCATCACATCCTGCTCTTTCAAAATGTACCAGTCTTTTCTGTTCAGGTCATGATGAAGCAAAGTGAGCTGCAGCTGACAATTATATTCAGTATCTATTCATCTGTAGAATATTTTTTAATGAATCACACAGTCAAACTTGAATGATAGAATATCAGCTAGTATTCACACCGGTGACTTCAAAAAAGAAAAAAGCTGCTAGGTGATTCTGCAATGAGAATTCTATGAACATGATATGACGCAATACGACTGAGGCTGTCCGATCATCTTTCTCACCAGCTCAATGTCCACGTAATAGACATGGATCTAAAGAGACATACTTGGTCTTGTTTTTGCAGTATAGAGCTTGTTTGTCGAAATATTATCAGACCTACAGACTACAAGATCAGACAGTTAATTCATGCTCACATAACCCTGTTAACGCCATAGCTTATGTAATTGCACAAGCAAGACAGAGGTTGCTCCATTCTTTGTGTTCACTGTTCACAAGACCGAAAGCTGCCAGAACGAGGACTTAAAGATGACATCTCATGAGACTGAGCAGGACAAAAGCCTTGTCCTCTGAGCCCTGGCCTGTGTACGCTCTCATCAGGAATCAGGAATCAGGAAACATTTATTGCCAAAATATGTCAAACATACAAGGAATTTATCTTGGCGGTTGGTGCGTGACAGTAGACACAAAACAGACAATAGACAACAAGACAGCAGTGCACAAGTAATAAAATAAAATAAAATAAAATGAAATGCAATGCTAATGCAATGGGTTAGTAGAATAGGGCTATGGGTTAGTATAAAATAAGAGAATAAAGTTACAAATTTTAAATATTAAAAAGAAAAATTAAAAATAAAGTGCACTATCGAACAAGTGACAAAGTGACGAGTGACGACAAAGTGACGAATGAAAAATTACAGTTAAAGTGACATGTGCAGTGTGAAGGGGAGTGACCGGTGAAATGTTATAGTCAGTCAGTGGGGGACCGGGCTCTGTTGATGAGCCCGAATGCCGACGGGAAGAAACCGTTCGTGTGGCAGGAGGTCTTAGTCCTGATGGACCTCAGCCTCCTGCCAGATGGAAGGGGCACAAACAGTTTTTGTCCGGGGTGAGAGGGGTCGGCTACGATCTCTTTAGCTCACTTCAGAGACCTGGAAGCGAACAAGTCCTGCAGGGACGGCAGATCGCAGCCGATCACCCTCTCTGCAGAGCGGATGACACGCTGCACCTGCCCTTGTCCTTGGCTGTGGCTGCAGCGTACCAGACGGTGATGGAGGAGCAGAGGATGGACTCGATGATGGCCGTGTAGAAGTGGACCATCATCGTCTTTGGCAGGTTGAATTTCTTCAGCTGCCTCAGGAAGAACAACCTCTGCTGAGCCAAATGAGGTCCTGGGTGATGATGGAGTCCAGGAAACGGAAACCAATCCACAATAGTGACGGGGGAGTCACACAGGGTGA